CTGCAAAATGGAGGTTTAAGTCTGGAACCACCTTGCTAGAAAGAAAGTCTTTGGTGGCAAGAGTGACTTCTTTCATCACATTACCAATCACAAGGGACATTGAAGTCACTCTTACATGGTTTGGATGAAATAAATAGACTAAATATAGTAGTGCTATACTGTTTATATGCATTACAACATCTGTTATGATGGAAACATTAGCACTACATATATTCTAACAATGAAAATAAAATACTAAACAGAAAAATACATTTTTAAATGAAAAGGCTTCTTTTCATTGAGAAGTTGCAAATCTATTGAAACTTGGAATAATCAAAGAAAAATAGTTATCTGCAATTGTTGAACATGGATTGCAACTGGTGTGCATCAGTGTAGATTCACTGAAACCACTGCAGCTCTGCCAGGATTTTCTAATCTTAACCAGCCTCTTACCCAGCACCTTGTATTACATCGTCAATCAAGCACCACCTTTTGATAAATATTACTTCAGGCCAGTAAATAGGAGACGTATCACTGGTTCAAATCCAGAATCTCTTCTGTCAAATGGATTCTAAGTGTTCACAGCCATTCTGGAGATATGAAGTATCTACCATGTATCTGAAGCTAAAAGAGATACTATTACATAAAATGTAAATATTTTCAATTAAGGCAATCTGCTCTGCTATTGACAGCTAGTTTCTGCTGGGTATGAAATATAAGCCGAATTAGAGGCTGGTATTCAACACAGTTAATATTTACGTTATTTATGACTAACTTCATGTTAGGTCAAGAAAAAGTACATAATATAATACATAAAAATGGATTCTGGATAACTTCATAAAATGGCTAAATTGGAATGTGTAAAAATATAGCTACTCTTAAATTTTAAAAATCCTCTTGGGTGGAATGCTAAGTAGAATACTAAGAAATTTCACAAAAGAGTAACATGACTTCAGCAGAATATGGCATCACAAAGAAAAAACATTTTAGAGAAATAAAAATTTTATTTTTTTCAGTGGGAAAACATGAAATATGTAGAAAGGAGCAAATTATAGGAAACTACTTCCTAGTTGTACTAATTTCTTAAAGTGTAAGGAAATGGGTAAATACAACTGAAATTGTACAACAAAAGTGTATCTGCTTTGTTATAAAATATGGCATCTATTTTTAGAGCTAGAAAATAAGCATAATGTAGGTTTTGCTTCTTATCATTTATCTATAGCAAGAGAAAGAAAAAAATGTTGACAAGAGATCACCACTACTTTTGGATCTATAAATTTAGAGGACTACCACTATAGGCCTCAGAAACAGAAAATCAACAAAAATTATATGCTATAAGCAAATAAGGAGAAAATAGTATTTTTAGAAAATAATCTGAAAAGTGAACATGCTATGTCTATATATATTAACTATAATGTGCTTAATACAGCTATAACGACCAGCTAATTTGAACTATAAAGGCTGACATTACTTCAAAACAAGTAAATCCATTCAATTGCACACCAGTCATCCTCTGCAGGGTGCAATTAAGTAGTAAGAATTTAAACCCACTGAAAAAGGCATGAATGGCATCATCTTAAGAAAACACTGCATCCAAAGTCTTTCACACACTTCAAGATCTCCCATAGAGAACTCCTTTAAGCATTATTTGTCTCTAAGTTTGTGGGCAAGTGTTATTTCTACAGCCTCATATTTAGTAATATGCATCTTAAAATCACTGGCAGTGGTGTGTCTGTCATACAGTCCCTCAGATAATGATATTTGATCTTCGGTTTTCAGTATCATCAACAGTTGAATTTAAATCAGAATAATTAATTAGGTTATCTAACCTATTTACTATGTATTGTGAGTTATTTCACTAAGAGAACAAGAAATAGCATGCATAGGAGTTTTCTTAGTGCTGGTCTGTTCCAGTTAACATTTTTTCTCTCAAAAGGAAGCAGGAAGGCCCTTCACTACTTCAGAAGAAAAAAATTGGAGATGGATAATGAAAAATTTACAGAACCAAGTTTTCAAACAGACACAGCTTCTCCATAAGCAAGGACAGATATTCTCAATGGGAAACTAAAGGAAAGAACATTAGTTTGGACTTCTTACAGAACTCCTTTGCACACTTCACAGATTACTCTTTCAGTAGCTTTGTCCTCTTGCATAAGTAATCTAACCCCTTTGAAAAACTCTTAAATAGGAGATACAATTGAAGTGGAAAACATAAACAACCCAAGGAAGTTTTGCTAGTCTCGACTATATACAACAGTATAGAGAAGCTCCGCTAAAAACTCCCATTTAAAGAACAGAACTCCTCCCTATTTTCCTGCAAGCTAGCAAGAAAAATGCTCCCAATGAACAACTTTCTGGCTCCAACCTAAATAATCTGCAAGATCATCAGAAAAGAAAAATAATTTTGAGAGATCAAGTTCTATTTTGTCTTTCAAGTCTGCACGTTCCTGCATGCAGGTCAAGCCTTGACTTAGAGGATGCAACAAATTTGACAGAAGGTTTATGGCTTAAAGAGAAAACAAATAGGCAGTGGGGAGACAGCACTAAAGAGGTGGCTTGAAAAAAACTGCCTGAAAATTTTGAGCACAAAAAGATGCCAATTCTGGCTAGCATGACACAAAATTAGGTGCATCTGACTTCCTTTTTGATTAATCTGTGATTGTTGGGTCTGATGCTCCATCTCTCCCATATCCCTGTCCTCACTCCAATCACCACCTCAGGTCTTCACCTCCAAACTCATTTGCTAATAACACAAAAGAGTTCCTAGCCTGGACAAGGAGCAGAATGAAACAAAACCCACAAAACACAATCAAAACCAGAAAAGATGCAGAATGGAACAAAGCAAAGAACCACACAAATGCAGCAGTTTCTTTATAATTAAGGCTGAAATAAACTTTCCACTAACTTCACCAACACGAGGTTTCCTTTTAAGTTTTTTACTCACTGTAATCTGACAGACGATTCTTTGGGAGACAGTATGGGTTTGAGAAGAGATGAACTAATTACATTAACATTTATTTTCTTGTAAACATTCAGTGAAGATTTGTAACAACTTAAGAGTTAACGAATTGTCTTTTGTTCTCCTTTGTCAAAAATCATACTCAGCTAGTTTATGAAACCAGAATACAAAACTCCACGTGAAAAACAGGAAAAGAAATAACTAGAATTTTCTAGGATGCCCACGGGCTGCCTTCTAGCCTCTGATCTGTGAGAAAAACAAACTCAGATCCATCCCTCCAGACCCTCCTGTCCAAAAGAGTCAGGTTAATCCATTCAGGATTATCGGGAATGCACTCCTCAAGTACTTTCAGGCATAAAACTCATGTGCATTATGTAAGATTGTGAAGGGAAGATATTTTTTTTCCCCCTGAGGTGCAGTTGCCACATAAATTATGATTCCCAAGGTTCTTGGCAGGGTAGGCGTCCTATGGCTGACATTATATTGCCTCATTAATCCCACAGAGGACCATATGAATCCTATCCATGCCCAGAAAAAAAGGCTCTAAAGGACAAAATGTAATCACATGTGAACTGAAAATAAATGAAAGGTGAAACAAAGCAAAGTGTAACCATGAAGCATTAGGGACTTTCAGGAAGCAGGCAAGCAGGAAGGCATCTGGAGCAGAAGGATAAATGGGACTGTTTTGGGAGTTACAAGGTAAGTCCCAAACTGTTCTCATCATCAATGAGAATGTTTGTTTAACAAAATTTCTTAATAAATTAGGAGAAAGGAGCTTTGATGTATGAAAACACAAGAAGCCCTTTAAAATATAACTTTTTCCTAATACCTAAAAATTATCTAAAGGAAGAAATATCTAGGGTGTAAGGGGTTTTTTTCTGAACAACAGAGGACTTGGGAATACTAATCCCTTCTTCTGTATGTTAAAAATATGCTCCAGAAAGAGCGATGATGAAATATGATACAATGGACCTACTGCCCTAAGTAAGGACAGAAAACACAAAGATATCTTTATTTCATCAAGATTCTGAAATCAGACAGATTATCTGAGAAAAAGTAAGTTTGCTTATCTGATCCTACAGCAGATCACTCAGAACAGAGAATCTAACCAGGAAAAACGAGGTTATCTAAATGTTCTCACTAAGTAGTTATCAAAACTGCCAAACAGACCCATTTCCCCAGGCCTGTGAAGTTATAGAAGTATTGCTGATCCACTGCAAGTCCTCAAAAGCAAAAGTAACTGGAAGTATTAGTGGTCAGATATGTCTACAGCACAGCTATAAAAACATGTTCAGCACCATGTCACCATTTTGTAATTGCTGCTACAGAATTAGCTCACTTTCAGGAAAAAATGTGTACATTTTGAATTGTACTAGTGATGTTAATTTTTTTTAATATAAGGGGAATCATGTTCTATCATGTGACATCCTGACCAATGTTCTGTTTACTGAGAAAGCAATACCAAAACAAGAAATAACAGAACCAGTTTCCCTATTTATGGCTACTTCTGTAAGTACTCAAAACTTAATTGAAGCTCAGCAAAAAGCAGCATGTGTGCAAATGTACTGAAGTCACATAAATAGGACAGGATTCAATGGCATAAATATTGCTACTTTTGGTTTCCTGCATTACATTTCTTGGCTGAACATGGTCTGCTGTTGAAACTGCAAGTGTTTGCTGTTTCTTTACTATCAAATTTAGATTCTGCAGAAGAGATAAAATCTATTTGTTTTTTTTTCCTGCTCCAAGCAATGACCATTTAAAGCAATGTTTCATTTCTAATTATTTTCAAAATTTGATTCAAATACTTCCCCTATTTTCACATTCATGATAAAAACTGTCTGATGTTGCACTTGGAAATACGTAGCAATTTCAACAGTTATATTCAGTAACTGAAAATAAATTAAGTCAAAGTGAAAAAAGAGATTACAAAGAATATGACTCCTTTGGTGTTTGTTGTATTGAATTGCATCACAATTTCAGAAACATGGAAAAATTGCTACACAACTTAGTGCTTATTAGTGTTTCTGAACAGTAAAAAATTAGGCAATCCTATGAAGACTTTCCAGTTATTTGTTACTTGTTATTCCTGCTGAAGGCAGACACTAAACCTGCACAGTTAAATATGACAGCACAAAAAAAAAGCTTATATAGCATATGAGGTATGATCTAAACAACTTCTGAACACTGGAAAACTGTACATTTTACAATCCTAAAATTAACAGTGAGATTTAATTTAATAGTGGAAGAATAACACCAGGTATAAATTAAATTAAATTAAAGCCCTCATATGGAATGGCAGAAAGGCTAAACTGAATCTAAACTAAGCTAAACTGGTTTTGATGGGCTGTGGGTAGGGAAGAAAATCTAAAGCAATTGATTGATTTTGGTAATTCAGCATATGAAATAGAATAGAGGAACTTGTTAGAAGAACATAGTTTGGAATAATCTAATTCTGGCAGCAGGTGCCAAATTATTTTCTTAACGGAATCCTTCCTTACTGTGGAAGTATATCTTTGGCCATCAATAGAAAAATGAGAGAAAAATGTCTTGATTCCAAAACTATGTACAGATTAACAATTCTTGCTTTAAAGTCTCTAGAAACACCAGGAGTCTGCTGCCAACAGAAGAGAAATATGCAGTAGAGACACCTTGACAGGTCAAAAGCATAACATTAAAGGTCTTCAGAATAACTAGGAGACCCCGGCTGCTGAAACAAAACAAACAAACAAAACACATCCCCTAAAGAGAAAACCGAACAAGAACCCCCACCAAAAAAAAAAAGAGAGGAAAAGAAAAAAAAAACCAAAACAAAACAAACAAAAAACAATCAACCAGCCTCCCCCAAGAACCACACCAGAATCAAATACATTTTGAACCAAAGCTGAGAACTACATTCTGCACCTGCTATTAACATTTTTATTCTCATTCTGAGAAGACTACCAGTAATAAATGGCATGATCATATGTTGCTATACAATTAATAACCACATTTTTCCAGTCTCTACTTTTCTCCTGTATGATTCTTTCCCTTCCATTCTTTTACATATTTTCCATTGCTCCAAGTATTTTCTTCAAAGATCTTGCAAGGCTCTGCCCTAAGAGTTTGTCTTAAACCCCATATTGCCTATAAACACTCCAGCTTCCAAAAGTGTGTCCTGGGGACAAGAAATGGAGGACAACTTCTAGTGACACCCGTGTATAAAGTTACAGTACTGTACAGCACAAGCCAAAAAAACTCCTATGAGATTTCTAGTAACACCCTTCAGTCTCTTTTTCTGTTCTCAAGCAGCATTTCAAAACAGAGCAATACACACTACACTTATTTTCGTAAGACTGAATTGGAGGAGTGAGTTCAGTGCAAACAGCCACTGAATTATGCAGGGGTTAACAAATTTTGAACTTTTCTCCCAAAGGTTATGCTTTTATTAACATGAACTAATGGGTTTTTTCTCCTCTTATTTCCTGAACATTTACCAGTAAGTTCCTAAGCACTACTAATAATAATGGATGCCCTAATATACGACGATTTTGGTATGAAATTTTCCTGTGTAGCCAACATAGCTTTTTACATCAACTAGAATCTGGTTCTTTATTTTATTATTGCCTTTCTTATACAGCATATGGTGCTGAACACTTTCTCTAAGCTTTTAACTGATATCATCTGGGATGTTAGATTTTTTAAAATTTAATAGTGAAATGAGTTAACATAAAGTTATTTTAGCACAGATTAGGGTTAGCATGCTTTATCCAGTTTGTTCATTGCTTTGATCAAAAAGCAATTAAAGCAGCACCGAAAAAGAAATTCCCACAGAAATGTTTATCAAAACATATATAATCACTGACATTGAGCTTAAAACCAGTTTTTCAAATAGTTTGGGACCTTTTCTTTAACAACTGCAGTATGACATTCTCTTTTAAAAATGCACATGAATCTCTGTACTAATAAAGCCAAACATCATAAATCAAAGAGCACTATTAATCAGTTAGTAGAAAAAGATAATCAAAGGACAGAACAGTTCTCCAGATCCACTGAGACAAACCCTACCCTAGTAAGAGATTACATGACAAGCCATCTCATTAAAAACACAGCTATGTTACTATAGCCTAACAACTGCCTGGTCACCTGTATGGAACATTTTCTGACCTCTGCCTGTTTGCCATGACTCATGTTGTTGTCAAGCTAGGAGGTAAAAAAACAAAACTGCAGCAGTGAAGCCCTTCAGTGCTGTGTCACACCTGATGCTCACATAGCTCACTGCCTTCTCTTTAGGGCCTCTCACATCAGCATCACAAATACCACAGTCCAGATTCAAAATACTGCTTCTGATTTATACAGGGTTCCCCATTCTCACTGAAATGAGAAGAACCTGGTATCTAAAGGTTTATTTGAATCTAAAACTCAGCACATGTAGAGCTTATAGAAAGGCAGATAGAGTTTATGAACTACGGAGGTAACTGACAAAGCATCTGCCTACTGTGTTTATAGTGAAAGTATGAAGAAGCAAAGCAGTTTCATTGACACTAGCAACACATTAGGCAGACACAGGTGCACTGACTTGATCAGTTCGAAAAGTAATTCAATCAGAGGAACAATGAAATGGCCCCTGCCCCCAAACCCTGAAGGCCACTGTATCTCACAATTTATATAACTACTCATGTAGCAAGGTCAAAACCTGCTTGCTTTAAAGCAACTATCAGCCACTTTTCCTTGATATGCTTGTTTTGTTTCAGTTTTCAAGCCTATTTCATTAATATCTTAAGCTCTGAGTATTACTGCTTTGCTTGTCTTCTCTTTTGTATTTACAGAGACAACGAGCATGACTCACATGCATATTAGAACAGTGCTGTCTTCCTGAGTTACTGGCCAGAAAGCTAAGTTTCTTGTGTTGCTGCTCATAATTTCAACACCAATAGAAAGCACTAACAAGTTTTCTATCAGCCTCATCATTATCACCATTATTATTTTCAGCATCAGAGACACCATTAAAATACTATGCTAATTTTATTCTGCTGCAAGTGCTTAAGGGAAGTTATGACATGCACAACTGTTGTTCTTCTAGACTTGAGTTCCCAAGGAGGAGGAAAACCTACAATGCAGCCTGATTCATTTACCAAGGGAAACATACACACAGAGGCTTTCATAAATAAAAGCTTCCTTCTACCTTGAGCAGGAGCTACAATGTCATCACCTTGTTATCAGTGCAATGCAAAAGGGAGCTCCAGAAATTCCAATCTAGGACCTTTAAGATACATAACAAATAACTAAGAGAATACTACCTTCCCTTCCCCAGCAGATATTCAGTGCGTGTTACCAAGATTTTAAAACAAATAATATTGCAAATTGTAGATTTGTGTTTGGTTGGTTATGTGAGGAGTTTTTGTGGGTTTTTCTCTTTTTTTTAATAATCATGATTTTGTTTAATTCTGGTACATTATGTTTAGTTTCCTTAGTAAGTGGAGTGAAAAGTCTCCAAAGGAAAGAGTCAAATGAACTGACAGATGAATAAGTATGACATGGTATTTATACTAACGACCAAAAAATGTGTGACTTTGCTAGTTAACCAGCAAATTCCTCCATTTACTTCAGCTACTGCCTCAGGAGCAACAAAAGAAAAACCCTCAAACACAACAATATACTGAAATGAAAAAATTTACTCATCATTCTAGGATTTACTTCAATCCAGGTCTACAATAAATATTTGTTTCACAGTCAGGAGAGGGAAAAGTAATGAACAAAGCAGGTTGAAAAGAACTAGACAGTGACTCATCAACAACACAACTAACTCTGCATTAAGTAACATCATCTGTTCCTAGTTTGCTTGCCATCAAGCATCTAAACCTAAACCCAAGGAGTTGTGTGTTGCTCCTGGGTAGTGTATTTCTGGAGAAGGATTGCCATAAAGAGTCGCTGTCTATACAGACTGAAAACACCTTTATCCCATTAGTAAGCATCTAATTTTTCGTTTTTTCCTAGCCCCTAATTAAAAAGGAAACAGTATTTCAGCACTTAGATCTTCAGAAGAGGTCTAATATGAATTAGTTCAGGCAGTATGATTTGAGGTGTAATTTTTTTCACCTCCCCCACAGATAGCAGAGCTAAGGGGAAAGAGTGACTATGGCAGCACAAGGACCATGCCACAGATTTATATGATTAAGGAAGAACAGTATTAAATATACTAAGTAAAAAACCCCAAAAAACCACAGAATATTCCACTGACAAAAACAATAGTAACTGAATTTCAGTCACTTACTATTGCAATCTTTCTCTGGATCTTTTCCCATGTTTTTCATTTCAGTAAGGTATTCAGTAATATTAACATTTATTCGTCAGTGTCTTAAAGAAAAGCCTCAGAAAAAAGGAAAACTGTATCTTACAAAACCTGTGTTCATTCTGCTCACCAAATGACCTACTGAAGCACAGTCTAAAGGTTAATTTTAACCGGGTCCTATATAATAAATACAAAGCATAGAAATAAACCTGCAATTCTCTTGAGCAGAAATTTTATTACTGGCAGCACTCTGCATATCACATATTGTAACTTAGCCTTTACACCAAATATAGGAACGATGCAGTATTTCCCTAAGACGGAATCCCGTAAGTCCCACACTTTGGGAGAGGTAGGCAGTCAGCTAGAGACATGCCTTTTGACATTTCAAATACACTGAGCCAAATTATGAAACCTTTGTTCATTTTTATGAAGCCTTTAATGAATAATCTGGTATTAGTCTGAGCAAGAACTTATCACCATGATTAAGAGGACAACCACTGGACTCGTCACAATTAATGGCAAGTTATAAATACCATTGGATAAGATAAAGAAAAATACTTATGGGCCAGATCTAATGCATTTTTTACTAAAACATGTAAAGATTTCTTTGAATACATGTTTAATGTATTTTTTCCAAAAAGTTTTTACATTAAGACTTCCAGTAGACTTGTGAAACGTGCTTGGAAGGATATTTGATGTCAAGAGGGAATACCATGTAGAATGAATAAAAAGAAAAAACCACATTTTTGGTTATAATTTCAACTACATCTTTCATCTTCATTACTTTGCTGAGGAAAATTTGAAGGAAAGCTTTTTACCATCTCTGTGTAATCTGAAATCCGGGTACTATAGTTCCTGAATAGAAGTCTAAATACTGCTTAACTGCCAAGAATAACTCCTCCTACTGATAATCTGTGTAAAATCAGAGGCAAATAGGTTTCCATGAGAAAAAAAGCTCTAGGGTAAATTACCCATTCCTGCT